TTTGGGATCCTCCCCCTCAGCCCCACTCACATCTGGTTCAGCACGTGGGCTACAGCAAGGCCGCTGCTCAGGTCCTCGGGGCTGGCACAGGGGGGTGGAACTTGGAACGTCTGCAACTGAGGCGGAAATGAAAGGGCAACAACGCGGGGATTCAGGACCTGAGACCACCGAACCACTCCTCTTTAGCAGACTGTTTTTGGCCAAGAAACATCTCACAAGATTGAGCAGGCACTGGCCTGTTGCTACACCAAACTAGTTCTGCAGGGGAGTGGCTTCTGCACACCTGAGACCTAAGGGGGCGTGGCCTCACTTTACCTCTGCCTAACAAAGTCCAAGCGACCAGGTCAGGGCGGTACTACGAGTCACCTGGTTCTCACAGGCACCACGTGATCAGGCCAGCCTACCTGTACCCCCTCACCCCACGTGAACCAGGCACAGAGGGGCGGGGCCTCACCTGTTCTTTCCAATCAGGCCTGCCACGTGACAGGGACGGGTGCTCAGACTAGAGTCCAACGGCCTGCTAGGCCGGCGACCCCTTCCTCCTTCCAGCCCCAAGACCGAGGGGCGGACCGAGGCAGGGCCAGGGATCCCGGGCTAGGGGAGCGGGCGCACACCTGTCCCCAGCCCCGCCCCTCGACCTACCCAGGTGAGCAGAGACCCGCATAGCTCGGCCTTGTCCACGCTCATGGCTCCGGATCGAAATCCACCCTGGCCACCGAGCCCCGGCGCCACAGCTGCCTCCGGGTCCGCCACCAGCGAGCGCCCGCAGCCCTGACCTCCCGCTCTGCCTAGAGCGCCGCCCCGCCCCGCCCCCTTGGCACAGGCCCCGCCCCGGGCACATGATCGCTTCCAGACGCCAGCTCTTGCCTCCGTCTCCGCCATATTGGATCCGGGCAGTTTTCTGATGCCTATTCTACCGCTAGAGGTCAGTGTGGCCCAGGAGTGAGCATTGAGTGGATAGATAACCACCTCCCCTACTCCCCCACTTTTGGGATTGTAAAGGGCCTCTCCATCCTTCTGAGATGGAGCTGCCCCATCCTGTTATACAAATGTATTTCCTTCTTTTCTTGCAGCTGACAGATTTTTTTTTTTTGGCACCAGGCATTGAACCCAGCGGTGCTTAGCCATCGCCAGCCCTTTCTTTCTTTCTTTTTTTTTTTTTCCATTTTTACCCTGTATAGCCAACCCTTTCTTATTTTGAGACAGGGTCTTCCTAAATTGCTTAAGGCTTTGCTAAATTGCTGAGGCTGGCTTTGAATTTGCCATCCTCCTGGCTCAGCCTCCTGAGCCACTGGGATTACAGGCATGCGCCACTGTGCCCAGCTGAAAGAAATTCTTCCAACCACCTTAGGATCAGAGGCATAATTTATCTGTGTGGGCAGGCGCGAGTCATGATACATCCAGTGAACTTGGAGTCGGAGAATCCTAAAAGGGTCTTCCTAGTGGATGTGACTTAGAAGCCCTGCCCCAAGGGTGGACAGGGAGATAAGGGAGGGGTCCTACAAGTCGAGAGTAGGAAGGGTCAGTCAGACACAGGTCCTGGGTAGTGCACAGTCATATTTACCCAGCCTGAATCAATCCTATACTGAGATTCCCCTGAGTCTTACCGGCCCTTAGATAACCCCCTGCTTCAGATCCTAGGACCAGGCTGAAGTTGCCTGTCCCCTTCCGCCCATCAGGGGGCGCGGAGATCTCAAGAACGCTGCCTACTGGGGCGAGGGTGCGCCCACTCGGAGACCCAGCTGGGGCAACCGAGAGAGCTCAGAGGCATAACAATTATAGTTAATAATAAATTCGCAAATCGCCACCTATGGAGTGCTTACTGTATGTAGTATCTGCGCTGATTTAAATCCACTACCCTACGTGTCAAGTGTTGTTTTAATTCCCGGTTTTGCAGACGAGGAATTAGTGGCTCTAGGTGGACCCAGCCTTGAAGGAAGAGGGTAAAGCACCAGCCGGCGCCCTTTGACCCCGGGGCCACTCCCTTGCAGGCGGGTGGGGTAATGTGCAGTAATTAGAGGTTAATAGCTGTACCCAGAGGGAGGGGCGGGCTCTGCATTGGGGGCGGGTCCAGATCGAAGGGGAGGGGCGCTACTCCCATCCACGCCGAGAGTCTGGAACCAGTGACCTTGTCCTAGAGCGGGTGGGCAGGGTGACAACAGTCCCCCGCCCATCACATGAACATAGTCCCTAGAGCCCTAAACACCCGGTTGCAGCCCACTCAGATGCGCAGCCGCACGCACGCTAGAGTCTTGGAGGCTGCTCCACACCCCCACAACCCCTTTCTTGTTTTCCTGACTCCAGCCTCTGGGAGCCAGGTGGAGGAGGGTAGAGGGGAAGGGGACTAGGGCTGGCGCTTACAAACGGACTGCTTTAGGCGGGCGGGCGTGAGAACAGCTGCTGCTGGTTCCCCGTCCTGCACCTAACAGAGGAAAGGGTGCTGCCCAAAGGGGGAAACAAATCACCCTGCCCCCAGGTAGCAATGGGAGGTGAGCCAGGAATCAGGGCTGTTAAAAGAATGGAGGGCTGGACCTGCCAGACCTCTAAATATTTGGGGTGGGGGTGGGTCACGGGATTTTGATGTTTAGGGAAAATATGGGAATCCAAATATTTAGGGGAATTGGCTTAAATTATTCTAGTGTTAGTTCTGATGTTATGGGCATCCCAAATGTCTAGGGAGCCAAGATTAAAGGAAAGGCCCCTGCTCTCCATTTGGGGAAGGAGTCACAACCTTCTATTTGGGTCAGCAGGGAGTCCCACATTTGGGGGGAAAGAAGGGAGTGCACATGTTAGTGGGAAAACCAGCAATCCTTGTTTTGCAACAAAGGGGGCCTCATGCTGGGAAGGGATCTGGGTATCTTCTACAAAAGGCACAAACCCTTCATTTCGGACAGGTACCCCATACTAGGAGGAGGGATGCAAACCTGTTTTAGGGACAGGGAGCCTCCGAAGTTTGGAGGAGTGGTCCGGAGGCCTTTATTTGGAGGGACTGAGCCCCAGTATGCAGGTCTGGGTCAGCAGCCCCCAGCTGGATTGGGGGACCCCACCCTCTCCAGCCTGTTTCCAGGAACAGCTGGGCCCAGCCTGGGTTGTACTGCTGGGAAGCCAGTGACTCAGCCCCTCCCTGCGGCCACAGCTGGACCCTGGCCCGCCCCCTCCAGCCTGCACATCTGGGCAGGGACCCAGTCATCAGGGCTGGTTTAAGGACCCTGAGTTCCACAACTGGAGGACAGGACCCCAGGACTCCTCCCCAGTGACTGACCAGAGCCACTGGATGGACCCCATGCGCCATTACCCTGGGAGACTCTGGCAGGCCCCCCGACACTGACATCCAGATACTGACATCCTGCCAGCAACTCCTATCCTGCCCCTCTCCCATCTCTGTGCTGAATCCATGGGACCTGTGCTTGTTTTGGTAGATGTGATTGAGTGTGTATCGGCATCTGCGACCACTTGTGTTTTGAGGCCCTGGAGTTTGTGCACCTGGGTATCTGTGTGTGATCTGATGGTGGGGGAGGCTTCAGGGATTGGGGGAGTGACTAACATCTTTGTCTGTGTATAACATCGAGGTTTGGGATGATGCACCAAGTGTATCTGTGTATAGCCCGTGTCTGAGTGGCTGTCTCATTCTGTCTTCATCTGTTATGTATTCGTACTTACTACTTGCTTCTCTAGGGTGTCATTTTTCAGTATCCATCCATCCATCCATTTTTTCTTTCTTTCTTGGTACTGGGGATTGAATTCAGGAGGATTCTGCTTCTGAGCTACATCCCCAATCCTTTTTGTTAACTTTTTTTTTTTTTTTTTAACTCAGGGGCACTATACCACTAAGCTGAGCTTCGTCCCTAATAGCTTTATTTTTTTGAAACAGGGTCTTGCTAAATTGTCCAAGCTGGGGGCTGAGGTTGTGGTTCAGTGGTAGAGAGCACGTGTGAGACACTGGGTTCGATTCTCAGTACCACATAAAAATAAATAAATAAATAAATAAAATGTAAATTGTCTAGGCTGGCTTTGAATTTGAATCCTCCTGCCTCAGCCTCCTGAGTAGCAGGGATTACAGGAATGTCACCACAGCCAGCTCCTTGTCATTCTTTGTGTGAGAAGTGTGTAACAATCAGTGCCTCAGTATGGCCTTAGGTTGTGTGCCTGTGACCATGTCCTACTTTGTGTTTATCATGTGTCTTCTGTGATAGTGTAACCCGGTCATGTGTCCTGGTTTGTCCACACCACTTGGACAATCTGAGTATGTGTGTGGCCTTGTGGCTTTATCTCTGCCACTGTAACCTACTTTGTGCATCTTGTGACAATGGCATGACCGTCCTATGTTTGTCTCTACCATGTGTCTCTGCTGCCACAGTCTTCATACAAGAGGGGTGGTTGTATGACAATCTAAGCCCTGGTACCGGTGTTCTACTTTGCTTCAATGGTGCACCATTATCAGTGTCTGCAAAAGTAAATTCCTGTGTCCCTATCACAAGCCATTTGTGACCCATGTGCCTGTGTGAGTCTGCCTCTCCTCTCCGTGTGGGTCGGTGACAGTGCTGTGATCCTGTCCCTGTTTGCCGCAAGGCTGGCGTAATTTAGGAGGGATTTTGCCAGCGTGTGGCAGGTGTATCCTGTGTCTGTGTGACACTGCGGGTCAGAGTTGTTTGTGACCTTGAGTGTGTGGCGGGGGGAGCAGGAGAAGTGGGGTGTCAAAATCACACCAGACAGTAGCCCGGGTGGAGGCGATGATAGGCGCAGGGGCGTCTCGTCCCAAAGCTCTGGGAGGTGAGGGCCCCTCCCCGCGCTGCGGGGGCGCGTGCGTCGTGCGTGACGTGAAACACGACAGGGGTCGCTGCGTGCGTGGAGTCCGACGCGGTCGTGCGTGCAAGAGCGAGGACGGAGGCTGGCCCTGCTGCGTGCGTGCGTGCGTGCGTGCGTGCGTGCGAGCGCGCGCGGGGGCGGAGGCGGGGGCTGGGCGCGGGGGCGCGCGGGGCGCAGCACCGCCCTGCCGGCAACTGGAGACTTTGGGGCGCGGGTGAAACCCGCAGGGGGCTGCCGTTAACCCCTTCCTGCCCGACCTGAAACCTGCGGCCCCTCGACCCAGCGCACCGGGGCTTCCCCAGCACATGGTGGGGGGCAGTCCCTGCTGGGGGAGAACCCCTCAGTGGAGTTGAGACCCCCCCCAGTTGTCATGGAAACCAGAGCTTCCCGCGCAGCCGGGCGCGTGCTTCCTCCTCACTTCCTGTCTTCCTCCAGCTCCCGAGTCCAGTGACAATGAGCTTCCCGTTCCCGGTCTCCGGAGAAGGGGGTGGGGGTCAGCGAGGCCTGGGTGTGCGTGACTCAAGCCAGCCCGGGGGTCCCTTGGCCGCAACCGACCTCGCTCCCTCTTCTTAGCCCCTGTGACTCACCCCTCGCGGCTTTCCCCGCGTGTGACTCAGGCCCCTGGGAGGGGGCTGGGGACTTTGGGACCCCCTCCAGGCAGCCGGCACTGAGAACTAAGTTCTGGGGACCTTGAGCTTCGGGGGAGGGGCTCCCCTTCCAGAGAGAAGCCGTGAGGCGAGGCGGCTGCTGAGTCCCTTTAGCTGGCCCTTACCAAGGTCACTAGGGCGCTTTCCCAACCCCACCCCAGGCCTCCGGGAACCCAGCTCCAGCACCCCCACCACACACGCGCACCCGCGCGCACACGCAGCCCACAGGAAGTTTTGGCAGAGCCTGTCGTGGCGATGAAACGGTTAAAGCCGTTTTCTTATTCATTTCATCCAGGGGCCCATTTTGACTCAGAGCAAGCGGTGCCCCCTGGAGCCGGCCTCACGGGCAGGGTTTGTACTCCACCCTGCACGTACCATTTTTAGAGAGGAGGGGGATGGCGGTTGGTGAGCTGGCTGGGGGTCTCGGGTAGCAGCATTCAGAGGGGGCTCCAGCCGAGTCTCTGCCCTCATGCTGTCTGAACCTTAGTTTCCCCGTCTGAACTGGGAGGTGATTATGTCTAGCTCATTGAGTTGTTGTGAGGATTAGATGAATAATAGATGGGACGCTTTGCATCCAGAACTGGGCACAGGGATAGTGAAGGGGCTCCTCCTGCCTCAACCCTGAATGTCCAGGTGCCCGCAGAAGCTAGTGCTCCATGCCCCACCCAGGCGCTCTGAGGCCATGGGGTTCATTCTGTCCACCCCCTGCCCCAGGCGAGCACCCAGGAAGTGAGAGGCGGAGCAGGAATGAGGCGGAACCTGTTGGGCCCGTCGCTGCCCTGCCCCCCACCCTCATTCCCTTGCCCTGACAGGGACCCCCCCACGCGGCAGCCCCACCCCCGCTGCCCTGGACGCCTGGGTCCTGACCCGCGGGTGGCCAGAGGGAGGGGATGTCGGATGGAGACAGCGTCTCGGGAACATCCTGTGGACTGCAGGCTGGACAGACAGGAGGGTCAGCCCCTCCCAGGGCAGGGCAGACATCAGCTGGGGGCAGAGTAAACATGGCCCAGGGTGGCCAGACTGGGGGCGAGGGGCAGGGGGGTGGCGCTGCAGGAATGTACACACACAGTTACCCCAGAGAGCCAGATGCACAAATCCCACTGAGAGACTGCCAGCTAGGGACACACAGGGTCAGATGTAGATCTGGGCAAGAGAACCAGAAATGGCTGACAGACACACTGACAGCTGACTCAAGCAAGACAGAGGGGCTCAGGTTGTAGGGATGTAGCTCAGTGGTAAAGTGTGCGTTTAGCATGAGCAATGTCCTGGGTTCCATTCCTAACACTTAAAAAAAAAATCTATACACACTGTCAAACAGGCAGAGGCACCAACAGGTCAAAAACATACAGGCAGGGCATGCATGGCATGGATAAACCAGCTCTGCACATGGGCTAGACAAATGCACAGTTAACTATGCATCAGACACACGCGGAAAATACGCGAGTGTGGATAGGCTCCGAGATAAGGTACCATCACTCATTACAGGCACCCTGAGAGCCACACAAGAGATGTGCAGATATCCATGTGCACTGTCAGGTCCTGACACCAGAGGACAGACACACACACACTCACACACACACAAACACACACTCGATGCCCCAACTAGAGCAGACACCCAGAGGCTAGAGAGACAAACACACACCTCTGGATAGGTGGATAGAGCAGTCACCTACATACCACGGCCAAGTGCCTTAGGCACCTATTACCACAGCTATGGCACACACACTTGAGGGGAGATGAGACCTTACAGACATGAACCTTGCCAGGAACACTTTGAACCCACTGGCAGAGTGGGTAGATGTGGGCAGAAAGATTGACACATTCTAGACATGGTCTGGCCAGACGGTCTTACCCAGCATAGAGAGGCATGGATGGCCACAGCTGGGTAGTCATAAACATACAGGCTCAGAGACACCCTGTGGGTTAGTGCGTGCACACACACACACACACACA